CGCCGACGTTGCCATAACGCCGAGCACTCATCGCAATCGCCTCCGCATGGGTTTTGCAAACCAAAGCGCAGGTGGGCGGGTGGGGCGATTGCGGAAGAAGTGGCGCTGACAATTCAAGTTGAGCGCTGGCGAATTGCAACGCGTAGATTGCCCGACATCTACTATCAGTTGGTTTTAGCAAAAACTGCTTCGGGACCCCCCCGTTCGACCGCCCCCCTTTGCGCATTGCAACTTACCTATGATGATGCCCCATCGTCCATCTTAACTTTAAATCCACATCGCCCCAGCCAGGCCGGCGTCGCCCCCGCCCCTCCCCGTCCTCTGCCAAGGGCGCACGCGCGAGCATTCGTTTACCACAAATCATCAGCCACCAAGAGCCCCTTACAACAAGCGGGGGCAGGTGTGCGCGCGCGTCGTCGCGAGCGCATGCCAGAATCACTCAACAAACATACGGTGTCGCAAGGATTGCGAAGTCGCGTGCCCCGACAACGATTGGTTATATAAACATGTATATATATATACATATATATATGTATATGTAGCATGGTTTCGCACGGCATTCTTTGCATAACAAGCATGCGGTTGCGCTCTTGCTGATTCATGAAACAAGCGTAAGGTCGTCCATCGAACTCATAAAATGTGACCAAGCAGGCCACTCGCGCGCGCATGTCGAAGTCGTTCGAACGCCCTTGCGCGCTCGCTGTCGCAAGTTTTTTTTTCCCGAATATATATATATATATATATATATATATATATATGCACACCTACGTATATATACAACTGTATATACATATAGCCCCGAGACGAAGTGCACGCGCGCGTTGTCGCGCGCGCATGTCGGAACCCCTCGCAAGTCTTAGGTTCCGCAACAAAACCAGAAACGAGGAAGCGAGTGGTAGACATGTAATGAACCCATGGCCTCCCGAGATCAGTTTTCAACGCAAAAACTTCGCGCTCTTGCGAACATTCCAGAAAAAACAATGAATTGTTCTACGCTGTCATGAGATTCTGCCAGACGGGCCTCTCGCGTCGCATGTCGAACTCATCCGAAGGCCCTTGCGCGCGTGCTGGGGCGGGGGGGGGAACGCGATCCGCGTCGAAGAATATTGCGCGGGCCACTCTCGCGCGTCGGCCGCGCGCGCATGCCGAACGCTTTCCAGAAACGTCATCGCCGACGCGAGGGCGCCGTCATCGTCGTCGGCGCGATCAGCATCGGCGCCGCGGCTGGCCGCGCCGTCGTCGTTGTCAAAACTGCCGCCGGCATCGCTGCTATCATCATCGGGTCTACCGTCGCCGACGTCGCCATGACACCGCGCCCGCCTTAGTTACCGACTCGCACTGAAGCGCCCGCTGAGATGCACCACGCGGTCAGCGCCGTTGCGGCCGCGGCGGTCGCGCCGCACTAGCTGGCCGCTGCGCGCGCGCGCGGCCGGAGAGATGCACCCGCCAACGCCAAGCACTAAATCGTAAAAAATAGGTTCCGCAAGGATTTCAGAATCGCGAGTCACGAAAACAAATAAAAACCAAGTGGGTTCGCAACGATGGCTTCCAAACAAAAAAAACAGCGCCCGCGCTCTTGCGAATTCTTAAGAAACCTGTATATGTTTCAACATGTTTATAACATGCTGCTACACGGGTCCCTCGCGCGCGAATGCCGAAATCGCTCGAACGCCCTTGCGCGCGCGTTGCCGCAACAATCCCTGGCAACAAATGAGACGACGTGCCCGCGCGCGCGTCGTCGCGCGCGCATACTCCTTGAAAAGTCTTAGGTTCCGCGAGGAATTCAAAAACGAATGTCCCGAATCACATCTGAAACTAACGCACGGTTTAGCAGCATCAGTTCTCAAAATAAGCCTGCGCTCGCGGGCTTACGGATTCTGAGGGCAGCCTGCCCAAGAGCGCCCCAAGATGGCCCAGAGAGGGGTCCACGAAGGGGAACGCGAACTGACCACTCCAGCTCTCCTCTCCATGAAGCCCCCTAGAGGCCGCAGAACACCCCCAACAGGGCCCAGGAGGCTCCCAACAGGCTCCGAAGAAGCTAAGCAGAACTCCCGAAAGACCCAAACACAGGCCCCCAGGTCTCCAAACCGCTTTCAGGATGCTCCCGAAAGGCTTCTCACGATATCCCAACGAACATCCATGAGACTTCTGAACCACAACCCAGGCACGGTGGCAGGATGGGCCGAAAGCCGTTTTTTGACTGTCTCGGAGTCCGAGATGTGCTCCATGCGACCGGATACGGCGAAACACGTCAAGACCTTTTTCCCTCGGGGCCCCCTCTATGGCGAGTCAGAGAGAAGCAGGAGGAGGAAGAGCCAGAGCGAAAGATTGCCCCCCACACGCGCAGAATTTTCCGCACTGGCCCACAGGAGACGGGGATGCGACAGGATACCGCGAAAGAGGCACAACGAGCAAGGGAGAGCACGCACGCTTCGGAGAAGAATGTCTTCCGAATCCGTCGCCGCACGCGTGACGGGGTGCAAGTACACGTGGGAATACCAGCTGCTCCCTTCCCCCTGATCCGTACCCTGGAGCTCGCCTTCGCGTTCCAGGGTAGCCTCGAGAACGCAAGCAACCGTCCAGAAAGGTCACGGGTCCCCACAAGAAATCCCCCAAAGGCCCCACGCAAACCAGAGGAGACCCCAAAGGTCAGCAACGGGTCTCATAACCGCCACACGCCCTCACGCGCGAGAAACTGTTCCATTTTCCAACAAAACCACGACAGCCCCGACACCACGCGAACACGTAGATTTCTAGCATGTTCGCATGCCTCGTCTTACAAGCGTACAAAACAGCCCCGAACCCACCAGGAAACACCCGCCCCACAAGCAAGCGACCAAAAATGCCCCCACGAGGCCCTGCAGAGCTCCCATGAGTTCAAGAACATGGCACCCCGAAATCCCGCAGCAAATGAGGATGGCGCAACGCATCGGAATCCATCGGCCAACTGGGGCCCTTATTGCAAGTCTCGGGGCCCTGGGGGGCCAGGCCACCATCGAACCCGCTGGGGGCATATGAGCCCCCTTGCCAGCAAACAGACGACCACTCCACCGCACGAAACAAAAAAAAACACACACACACACACACACACACACAACATGCATGTGGAACTTCACGCGACCACCTGCCAATCAAAAAAAAAAAAAAAAAAAAAAAAAAAAAAAAACATCCCCCACACTCGCGCAAGTTCGAATACTCTGCGTGATCGCGCAGGGCAGCAACAATGCAACCGCCGCAAGACTCAGCGCACCTTGCGGCGCAGAGGATAACGAAAAACATGCCGTGCGATTTACGCAGGCTCATCGCCCGACGAAAAGAAACACTAATTGAACTAGCCGACGGCCTGCAACATCTACGAAATCTGGCATGGGCGCCGACGACCTCGTCGCGCAACCAGGTTGCCAGGGAGATATCCCTGCCAATCATCAACTTGAACACGGTGGCCTGTGGAATTTCGAAGCCCTGGTTGCCGCGACGAAGCTTGCCCTGAATCACGGGCGGCGCTGCTAGAACCAACGTGCCGCTAAAACCAGAATGGTTTGAGGGGGAGGAAGAGGTAGGAAGGGAGGGAAGTGAGGAGGAGGACGAGGTAGGAAGAATAGTGTAAGATAGGTGGAACTTGTCAACTGGGCCAGATTGCGCGTCTTCAGACAAATGGAGTCGGTCGGCGCGCGCCTGGCAAACCACTCGGCCTTGGAAGCGAGACGGGGGCGTCTCGCTTCCAGACTACACTTGCTGCATCGCGGTCGACGCACACCGCAGCTTGAACCACGCTCTACCCTAGCAGATCTCGTTTCCCGCGGGCGTGGGCCAACTTGAGCCACAATGGCTACGGAGGGGGAGGAGGGGGAGGAGGAGGAGGAAGAGGAGGAGGAGAAGGAGGAGGAGGGGGGGGGGGAGGGGGAGGAGGAGGAGGAGGAGGGGGAGGAGGGGGGGGAGGAGGAGGTGGTGGTGGTGAAGCATCAACTGGTCCTGAATCCTGCTCGACGGATCAGCTGCGACCGATGGGCGGCGTGGGATCGCTGTGCCCCCGCCGATGTCAAAGAATCGCCATCCCCCGTGGCTCCCTCTCCAGGACGCATGGTTGGAGTGGACGGGTCGAAATCAGACGAACTCAAGGCAGAGTTAAGGTGGCCCCTACGAGGAGGAGGCACAGGAGAAGGAAGGCCGAGAGGAGGAAGGACAAGAGGGACGAGGGAGGGTAGGCGCCACCGAAACTCATTCAGGCAAAAAGCATTGCACGATACATTACAGATAATGCATATGTACTTAATGTCCCAATACTCTGCGTCATGGGATTTTGACTCAGACGCAGCTATGGAAAGTGAGACGCAATAAACCTACCCCTTTTGACTGAAAGGGGTCGGTTTCAGGTCTAGATTCACGAAGTGGAGGAGGAGGAGGAGGAGGAGGAAGGAAGGAAGGAGGAGGGTGATGATGATGAGGAGGAGGAGGAGGAGGGGGAGGGGGAGGAGGAGGACGAGGAAGAGGATGGGGAGGAGGACGATGATGATGAGGAGGAGGAGGAGGAAGTGTTAGGCATAACGCTTCCCCCCACCTGCCGCCGCACCGCTACCGTGAGAACAGTCGGAGCTTGTTGAGCAGAAAACTCTGGAATGCACGTGCATCTGGATGACCAAAACACGCGCACGTGTCTGCACGTATACACGTATGTGGCGTGTGTGTCTGCACGCATGCACGTATGTACCGTACGATAACATGATAATACACACATGCGCGTGTATGCATATATGATAGGCATTCGCGAACGTGTCCGATGGCATTGTATAGAATTTCGTGGACAGTGATATGGGCGACCGAACGTATGAGCACATCATGTTGGCGTGTTTTTGCTGCTTGTAGTAGCAGGTGCACTGTCATGAGCACGCCCACGCATGCGCAGTGGCGCAGCGCATGCCAACTCAAGCGCAACCCCGAACACACACCATGTCCTGGCAAGCCTGTCGGCAAAAGCAAACCTATGCCAACACGAAGGACGCCTTGCCCTTCTGTGGCTTCGCACCCTTGGTGGCCGACTCGAACGCCGAGAGAGGCCGGGTGACAGGGCCTGACCCCGCGGCCTCGCACACGAGAGCGGGGCGCTCGATGGTGATATGCGTGTCGCCCACGACGATGTCCATGGGCACCCAGTCGATCTTGGCGTTCGGGCGAATCTCCTCAGGTTTCTTGCCCTTGGCCTTCTGCTTCCCCTTGGACTTCGGCATCGAAGTGGTCGGCGGCGGCGGCGACGTCGTCGACTCGAGCGGGGCGATCGCCCCTTGGGCCTCAGCTGCGGCTGCTTCGCTCTCGCGAGATGGCGTCGGCTTGGGCGGCAGCGCAACCTTCGCAAGCCAAGCAGGGCAGCAGTCTGACTTGGCAGCATTCGCAAAATTGGAACCATTCAGCACCACTCGAAAGTGGCCCATGCCGCCGAGGTCAAGGATGCCAACCTTGCCCTGCAACGTCAGGTCCGTAGCATCAACGACTTTCCCCCAAAAGGGGATCCTGACATTTGCATCTGCACGAGTGACAAGCAGCAAATCCTTCATCTTCTTCGTCGGGTCGGCGTCGTCCCTGCTCTTCATGTCGATGGCGATGTCCACGTGCTCCTCGCTCATGTAGTCCAGGCCGAGCTGCAGGAAGGCCACGTTCGCCTTGGCCACGAACATCCTATTCAAGTAGTGGGGCATGCCTGCGCCCTGCGACTCGAGGCCCACCGTCGTCAAGCACCACGTGCCGAAAGGAAGGTTCGAAGGCGCCTCGGGGGTGTCATCGGCAGCATCAGCGAGTGGCGCTGCCACAGCTGCGGGCTGAGGGACCACATCCGCCCTGCAGGCTGCGAAGATGACCGAGATGCTACCAGGCTCCCCGAGGGTAATCGACTTCACCTCGTTCGGCCTGCTGTCGTCGAAAATGGTCGCAAGCGTCTTGATTGCCTGCTCCTTGCTGTCCTTGTGGAAGTTGGTCGGGAGCTTAATCTTGATGTCCTTCTCTGCGCACGCGCTCGCCAGTTGCGCGTCCTTCAGTTTCCTCAAATGCACGACGTACTCCTCCCTCGCCTTCACGTGCCCATCAGCTGGATACAAGTCCATGTGGCTGGCCGCGCTCATGACATGACACCACAAAGACATGAGCACATCGTCGCTGCTCTTGCCGCTCTCCTTGAAGATATCGATGAGCGGCGTGTTCGTGAAACCATCTGTTGAATCATGACTCTCTAGGATACTCGAAGCGAAGTTCACAGCAGCCTGCGGCAGGAAGCTCGTTGCAGACAGCACGCCGTTGCTCGACTCGTTTACGCACATCGCCTTCATGGGGCCAAGCATAACGCAGGAGTGAGCCATGATGCGAACTCATGGTCATCAGAACGCTCCACAAGTTGTCCACCTTGACGTTACCGCAAGCCTTCTGAATGACAGTCGCCGCGTTGCCATTCGGATCCTGAAGCATGGCTGTGAACTTGTCGCTGTTACTCAGCGAGGACAGGGCCCAGAAGACATTGTCCAACTGCAGCGGCAGCAAGTCGTAGAGTTTGGTGCGCATTGTGTTCAAGACGATCTGAGGGCAATCCCCTGCGCTCGTCGGTGTCTGCTGCAGGAAGGACGCGCATTCCATCATCACCTCGTTGATGAAGCACGTTGCGCCCATGTGGATCCTGATAGGGTTCGTCGGGTTGTTTTGCATGATGCATTTCGCCCAGATGTCGAGCAGCCCAGCGTTGTCCACCAAGAATGCCTCGATCTTTTGTTCATCCCAATCCACGTACCCTAGAGACTGTCCACTTGGCTCCTCCTCCTCCTTTTCCTGCGCGAAGTCTACATCCGAGAGCCGAGGCCGCAACTTCGCCCGACGGTAGGCCTCCGTCTTGATGATCTTGCGAAGGGAAGCGAACCCCTTGATGATCTTGATTCCAGGCTTCAAGGCACCATCCTTGTCGATGCCATCCAATTTGATGCCCTCTTGCATCGCTGCCACGCAGCACAAGAGGAGGTAGGTGTTGTTGACCTCGGTATTCTCGATGATCTTGTCCAGGTAGCCGCGGAACTCAATGAGTGTATCCACGGAGGTTGCATTATTGATGCATGAAGAGCGCTCAGCTGGCATCTTTCGCTTCTTGCCTGTCGCGCCTGTGTCCTCGGTGGTGGCTGTCAATTGCTTCGCCGTCGCGCTGCCAGCCATGAGAGTGGTGAAGCACGCCACCATGTCCGACGTGATCACCTTGAAAACTGGTGACGCCATGCCCTGTTGCAGCAAAGGGTTCTTCAGCACTTGCCCCGACCTCTGAGGGCACAGCATCATCATCATATCTAAGCACAGCTCGGGGTAGTTCTTGAAGGTCTTCATGACATTGTGGAAGGAGACCCAAAACGGCTGGTGGTTGTCGTTCTGCTTGTCCGCGAAGTCAACGCCCCTCATGCACCTGGCAACAAAGACGTCCCAGAAACGGAGGTCACCTGTCGACCTCTGGGCCACCAGCTCTGCAGGCCACGCCACGTCATCGACGACGAGCTTCTTCATCTGCTTGAAAGTCATGACGCAGAACTCGTACTGCCTGCTGCTGCCCCACCTGTCTGGGTAGACCTGCTGCATGAGCTCGCGCTTCTTCGCCTCGTAAACGGATTGCCCAAGCCCGTCGACAGTCCAACCGTGCTCTTTCTTCTTGACCTCGAAAGCTTTTTCGATAGAATCTGTGCTCCGCATCTTTTCGAGGAAGGTTGTAGTTGTGGCAGAGTGGTTCTCGGAGTTGCCCAGGTCCTTGAGCCACCTCCGCACCAGCGGCGGCGTGCGAGCGATGAAGATGGTGCAGTGGTACAGGCCAGCTCCAAGCGACATCTGCACTGGTCTGCACTCCTTCTTGGCATCGTCCAACCACGCTTTTTGAAGCCCTTCAACCCTGGTTGCCCAATGCAGGCATTCGTACTCCACGTCGGTGCCGATGACTGGTTGGTTCGGCAGCTGCACCAGGAAGGGGCCCCCACCGATACCCCAGATCATGCCGCAGGTCTTCATGCTCTCGGCCTTTTGATCGATGCTGGACTGGTCGCCCCTATCGTTGTTGACGGCGTCGCGACGAACCAGCCACTTTTTTCCATCTGTGGACACGACAGGGATTCTCACGTCGGCAGCATGCGCGTAGATGCTCCAAACCCTCTGCTGGATCTCGTACTTCGACACGCCTGGAGGCAGGCCGACTTGTTCGCATATATCAGTGATCGATTCATCGAAAGCTTTGTCCATGATGTGGCCTTGGAGCTGGGCGTTCGCCATCGTGGGCATGACCGCAACCATCGACATCGATGTGTCAAGATTGTCAAGATTGGCACCCCAGAACTGAAACGAGTGCGCGAAACCAGACGCACATGAGCCAAAATGGCTAAGAACGGGGGAGCGAGCAGGAGGAGGGCGGACCTCTGTCCTCGCCAGCACCTCTCGCTGGATGAGAACCTGCGGCACAATCACGGAAGCCGCCGCACGCTGGAAACATTGGTGCCGACAAAATGCACCAATGGCCGCGCGGGGTACCGCTGGCGCACCCCCTTGAGGCTGGCTCTCTCTGGAAACTTCCCACAGTGCCCGCTCACGGCCCTCCGATTACCGCGCTCAGCCATGGCTTGGTTGATGGCCTTTTTTTGGGGGGGGGGCTCACGACGCGGATAAGGACCCCGACAATTTTTGACCATGGCGGTCAAAGCTTTGGCTTGCCCATTGTGGCCCAAAGTCCCCCTGATATCATCCGACGGTTTGACCATTGTGGTCGAAGTCCCATTGCTACCCCCCGTGGTTTGACCATGGTTGTCAAAGCCCCCCTGCTACCCCACCCCATGGTTTGACCATGGTGGTCAAAGTCCCCACTGCTACCCCCCAAGATTTGGCCATGGTAGTCAAAGTCTCCCCGCTACCCCCCGACGGTTTGACCATGGTGGTCAAAGTCCCCCTGCTGCCCCCCGACGGTTTGACCATGGTGGTCAAAGTACTTGTGCTACCCGCGACCGTTTACCCATGGTGGTCGCAACCCTGGTTTGACCATGGTGGTCAAAGCCCCCCTCCTACACCCCCGCTGTTTGACCATGGTGGTCAACGTCTCCGTGTCACCCCCCGATGGTTTGACTATGGTGGTCAAAGCCCCCCTCCTACACCCCCGCTGTTTGACCATGGTGGTCAACGTCTCCGTGTCACCCCCCGATGGTTTGACCATGGTGGTCAAAGCATGGTTTGACCATGGTGGTCAAAGTGCCCTTACTACCACCCCGCGGTTTGACCATCGTGGTCAATGTACCTCTTGCCACCAGAACGACTTTGACTACGGTAGTCAACGCCAGTGTTGTTCTACCCATGGATGTCGCCCGGTGGGTCAACAAACTTGCGTGCAGTGCCTCGTTGTGACGCGTGTCTGATGTTATGAGTGTTGGGTATGCTCGTGTTGTGTTTTTGTTTTTCTGTTTGTTTTCTGTGTGTATTTCGTGTTTGTTGTGTGGCAAGTGCTTTATGTGCGTGTGATGTGTGTTGCTCTCGCGCGTTGTGTCATTGTTGTTGTGGCGTCAATCTGGGGTGCATTTGCTGTGTGTTGCATTTGCTGTGTTGCATTATTGCGTCTATCTGGCGTGCATTTGCTTGGTTGCATTTGCTGTGTTGCTTTTGCAATGTTGCATTCTGCATTTGCTGTGTTGCATTCTGCTCTTCCTCACCCTCCTCCTCCTCATTCGCCTCGGCGCGTGAGCGAATATCTACACGTATGTGGTAGAGCGAATGTCTACTCATGGGTGGCAGAGCGGATATGGACTCATAGGTGGCATAGCCCTTGGGAGAAAGACGATGATGATGAGGATGACGATGAGAACGAGGATGAGGAGGAGGAGGAGGAGGAGGAGGAGGAGGAGGAGGAGGAGAATGAGGAGGAAGATGGGGAACACTGCTTCAAACGATTTGGTCGTCGTCACAGGGGAGCGTTGTTTCAACAGGTTTGGTCGGGAATGCTTCCTCGCACGTGTCGCTTGCTACCGCTACCGTAAGAACAGTTGGAATTTGCTCAGCAGGGAGTTATGCACGCTTCCTGTTGAATTTCAATTTCACGACATACGCACATAACTCGGCTAAGGGGTTGGGGCATTCAGGGGTTCTCCTCATTTTTTGCTACGCACTCCTCGGTGCAGAAGGGATCACAAGTCACAGGCTGTCAAGGGAAGCGAGCACGAGCAGCACCAGATGTCAAGCCAAAGAAACAGGGCGCGGATATTCCAAAACACGCAAAGACCTATGGCCATCGATCGGGGTATGAGGAAGTGCCTTGGGTGGGAATCGCCCTCCTTAGAGGGACCCATCTGGCAATGTCTACACATAGGCGGCAGGTGGCAGAGAGGAGATGGCTACACATGTGGCATAGCCGCTGGGAAGAGGTGGAGGAGGAGGAGGAAGATGCGGAGAGCGAATATGGACACATGGGTGGCAGATCGAATATCTACACATAGGTGGCAGAGTGGATATGGACATATAGATGGCGTAGAGAGGGGGGAGGAGGAGGAGGGCGTGGAGGATCGGCTGCCGTATCAACATGTATTCCTAAGGCGCCCGTGCCCTGATGCACGTGGGGCAGCAAAATGCATCCAAGTGTGGATGGCCGACGTCCAGCCGCACTGCCACGCGCTCAGCGCATGGGCCGTGCCAGCGCAAGGAGCAGGATTGGCAAGTGAAAGCTTCGCTGGGGCCCTCAACCCCCAAGAAAGCGCAGACTACGCACTGCGACCGTTCAGCTCGAAAACCAGTGTAATCGGAAGGGCCGCAAAACGCACGAGCCTCAGTCAACTCCCACAACGCGAACACCCACTCAGGCACCTGCTCGCGAAAGGGGGCGGTTCTCTTTAACATGTGAGCCCCGATGTCGTGGGCGATGACCACTGCGTCGGGCAGGTGCTCGGTGAGGACCATCGCAGGCACATTGTAGATCACCCTCCGTCGGTTGTCCAATCGCACCCGCCTGCCCTGTCGTTCACCATATGTGCGACCCCAGTGGAACAAGAAAACAGAGGTGCCATGGTCAGACTCCGCCGACAACAGCATAATTTGGTCAGGCTGCGGTTCGACAAATGCGTCAGCTTGCGCCCGCACGCGAGCCACGGCACCTTCGGTGTCCGCAGCTGCTGCAACACGCAAGGCATCAAGATGATGAAGCAATGCGCCCATGTGCCCCCCTGCGCCATCGACGTCGATTGCCTCGGGCAACGGCTCCTCAACACCAGCGGCGTCGACTCCATCGGGGTCGTCGCACTCCTCGGCCTCTGCACCTGCGGCAGCTGGAGGCGGCTCATCCTCCTCCGAATGTGCCTTAGCTGCAGCAGCGGCCTCCTCTGCCCAAAGGGCCTCGTCTTCCTCCAACAGCTCCTCGAGCATCGCATCCAGATCGAAACCCTCCTCCTCCCCGTCGTGGTGGGGCCCTTCTGGGCCCGCGGCTGCTGGTGGCGCAGGTGGAAGAGGCTCGGGACCGCCGGGGCCCGCTGGCGGCCCAGGCCTCGGGGGCCGAGGGTGAACCACCTTTATGGCGAACTCTTCAGGTGGTCCCATCTCAGCATTCTGCAAGCTCTGCCAGACGAGCTTGCGGCGAATGAGCTTGACCCCCCTGCGCGAGTCGGGCTTCTTCTCAATGCACGCGTGCATCAAATCGTCGAGGGGCCGAAAGGACAATGGACGTTGCAATGTGACTATGCTTCTCGCTGTGTAGGCTCGTGCACTGCCCAACGCACAGTGCCCTCTTCGGCGAATACCCGACGAAAGCAAAAACCAATCACGTGTAGCCCCGACGTCAACTCCAGGAGCCTTTAAGGCATAACAATACGCTGCCCCAACATCGCACAACTTGAAAGCGTCCAGCGACGCCTTCAGTGCGATTGCCCGAGTTCGCGGCATCATGCGCGCACAAGGTCTCAAACAAAGCGGCGCGCGCTCAGGAGCGGCAACAACCTTAGAGAATCGCCCTGTCAATATTGTTGAATGTGCCTAAGGCGATGGAATTCGAAGGGGGTCGACTCCAACCTCCAACTGCAAGCCGATGCTTTGAAAGCGCCGAAGAGAAAACCCGAAAACACAAGTTCCGAAACAAAGCTAACCAGCCAATTGCACATGCTACGCCACCCCGTGAAGCCCACCCGCGTGCTCTAGATGGCCTCGCATATGATTTCGGGGGCCAGTCTACGATAAACCAACAAGGGAACTTCGAAGAAAGAGACGCCCCCCTAAGCAATTCCATCACCCCGAAGGTCCTTCATGTATTCCGATGCAGCAGGATCCAGGTCAGCCAATTCCCGAGCAGTCAAGTCGATGTTCTTCTTGGTGCTCAACCTCGCATTTAAGAGTGGTATGCTCATGTGCGGCGCTCTCTTGCACATGACCTGAATGACCGAGTTTATGCCTTCCAGGCTTTGTGTGTCCAGGGGCCAGACCGCACGGAGTGCCATGAGGCAAGCTGCCAGAGGGGCCGTCAAGAGCCCAGAGTTCGCCGAATAATTCAA